GCGCACGCACTGGGAAACCTCCTGCGTGTCTCCCGCAGGGCTGACTCACCCCTCCTTGAGGTAAGAAGTGGGGCTTCTCGAGGGTGGGAGGGAAATGGGGGTGGGGCAGACAGGACGCCTCGCGAGCGACTGGTCGATGCCTCGCGATCGACCAGTAGCTCGCAATCGACCTGTTGGTGACCACGGCCTTAAAGCATTGCTAACAGGCTTCCCCTTGCAGACAGAATCTGTTTTGCTCCCAGCAGTTACTGAGGAGACACCAAACTGAAATTAAACTATCACTTAATTTGCTATGTTAACTCAGCTTGTATGCTGCCTCAACCTACTCTGAAGCTACTTATATTTGCACCTTTAATTAGAACTTGCTGAGCTACAACTCATAGCTTTTTCAGCAGCAATGTTCTTCATATTAGATATGGCCCCCTAATATTCAAAATTTTAACTGAATCCCTTTTGAAAAACTGACTCAGTGTTAGAAGACAGAATTATTTTCCACAGAAAATGGTAGCCTGCTGAGTCCAAAGGGTTTTTCTAGGTGTATTTCTTATGGCTGGCAAGGGAGCCAGGATGTATCTTTGCCATCAATGCAAAGGAATAAACAAGTTAATAAGCTTACAAACTACATGGTAGTTTTCTGTTCTATTTTATCTGAATATTGACACACTGAACTAACTTGGTAGGATTTTTTGCCTTTAAGGACATGTACAATATACTTGATTTCTTCTTCTGCAGTTTCCTAAGAAAAGATGGTATTTTACTGCCAAAAAAATAGAATTTAATTAATTTTCAGAATGCTTCTACTAGTTTATAAACTGTTTAGAACTCTAGTATAAAATCCTAAGAAGAAAACACTTTGAAATATCTTTGACCAACTCCTACATGTTATCATTAATCCAACAGGCCAAGTATTGCATCCACAAGATGAGTAGATATTTTAGTTTGGCGGCACTGTAGTGTGCAATTTAAATTCATAGATGGCCAACAGTTGCTAGTAAATTGTAGGCTTGCTTTCCCCACACAATACAATTACCGTCCAATATTAGT